ATATATATTATGTGGTGATTAATTAAGGTGGGGGTGACAGTCGGCCTGGGCCCCCTAAATCTGTCACAAAAAAAATTAATGAAGATAAAAAGAAACTTATATTCAAAAGTCTGTGAGTGCCATTTCCGGCGATCTATAACTGCCATACTCTTAAGTTATCTTGCCTCAGCCCCAACCATTTATCTTTCACAAATCGCCAGAATGCCTTACGAGTAGGCTGGGGAGCTAGCGCATAAATCATTAACATATATATATATATTGTGTTTCAATCAATTTTACTGATAATCTGTATTTTAATATTAGGCAAAAAATAATGTTGTGTTGCCCTTAAATGGCAAAAATCGGAGTTCCTTAGCAGCTAAAAGTACAAACCCTACTCAAATACAAAAATAGATTAAACCCCATTCAAATAAAAAAAACAACATAAAACCCCAGGTCAAATACCAAAATACAATTACTCTACCTAATAAACCAGCAGGTTTGCTAGGAGGACAGTATATGACTCAGTGAAAAAAAATATTGATTACTGTGTTAAAAATTCCAATTATATTTTGTTTGATTATTAGATAGATTCAAGTAAGATAGTGAGATATGGAAGGGGACTTTTTTAAATCTAGTTGTAGTTATACCATGATGTCCATATCTTTTCTCCCTTAAGTCGCTTGGTGTGAGTAGAGGTTGGCCGTGAAAAACAGTTGCTGAAAATATCATTTTTACTGGCTTTCATAGCAAATGCCTTACACAATGACTTCCGACGTTCACTGAGAGATTCAAGCTCCAGGTATTTGAGCGCACAGTCATAAGTCGTATATTGTCCCCAAGGATGGAACGGCAAACTCCGTTTTTGCATACCGGTACCTTCTTAACGGGATATCTGCAGCACAGTGAGGCCGTTATTCCACAATGCGACGGCATATTCTAATATGGGGCGGATGTAACATTTGTACACAGTCAATAACTCTTTAATATTCAAATCAGCCTGTTTCAAATTATGGAGCATGAATAGTTTTTATTAGCTTTTTGTAGCATAAGTTTGACATGAACCCCCCCCCCCCACCATTTCAAATCTGACTGGAGAAGAACCCCCAATAATTTAACTTCAGAGACAACTTGTAATTTATGATCAGCTATGTGAAGATCCAGGTCTGGAAGCAATCTCTTACCATAATAAATTTGCATGACTTGACACTTGGAGGGATTAAGTGTCAATGTATTGGTCCATTACCACTCTTGAAGACAATTTAGTCCCTTCTGAATCAAACTTGGTTGGCCTAAAATTTTACTCTCTCCAAGCGTCAGGTCATACTTCCAGACCTGGATCCCAGAATTTGATCCTAAAATATCATCTGTAAGGGCACTATTAATTACACACCAACAAATTATGGGCGCAAGGATTGTACCTTGAGGGACTCCCTCAGTAAGGGTTTCCCATTCAGAAAGTTTGTTCTTGTACTTAACCCTTTGATTTCTAGCCGAAAGGAAAGCCACAACCCATTGCAAGATAGAAGGGGAAACGTCCATTTCTTTGAGACAATTAAATGTAATTCTATGATTAATAAGGTCAAAATCCTTTGTAAAATCTGTTAGGGCCAGTGTACTAATTGATTTAGGAATCTCAGCATTTGAAATTAATTTATTGAACACCTCTATCAGGCAATGGGTGGTGGATATTCCTTTCTGATTACCAAATTGGCGCTTATCAATATGAGGTTTTATAGATTGGATAATAAAATAGGAAACCCTTCTCTCAGCAATCTAAGGTAAAGTGGGCGTTAGCGAGATAGGTACTTTATTGATCGTCGGAGGATTCTGTTTCGGAAGCGGGAAAACGTTAGCATTTTTCCATTGTATTGAAACAATGGCCCTGTTGTAAAGATGCATTGATTATATTGGTAATCGGAAAGCTGAATTCATAGGCACAGTCCTTTAAGGCCAACTCAGACAGCGTCGGCCGACGCAGCCCGACCCGATTTATCGTCGGGGGCAGTTTTAAGCCGTCATGAGAAATATTAAAAACGTTAATATTCTACTACGCGACTGCCCCCGACGCACACCATCGCGTCTGCGTTCAACTCACACAGACCCGACGCGACAACAAATCGCGTCGGGCTGCGTCGGCCGACGCTGTCTGAGTTGGCCTTTACATGTACATTTGGTATATTATCAGGTCCTCCCGCCTTTGAAACACGAATCCTCCCAAGATCATGATATAATTCCTAAGGTTGGAAACTTGGGGGTGGCACAGGGCTCGGAAGATATGATGGTAATTCTTGGAGATTGATTGGTTCTTGCTGCCGAGAGTTGGCTGCAAGAGGTTTATTAAGACAGTTTGCAACTGTCATATAATCATCCTGGTTTACACCTGGGACCTGGATAGTAGGATCATTTTTTCCCATATTAGCAAGGAATTTCACCTGCCTGTGCCACCCACCAGGATCCGTTTTCTGTAAGTATCTAACTCTATTTTCATTAAATGCCTTTTTAGATTTCAGTATTTCCTTTATGATGTTATTTCTAAGTTTTCTTCTTGGTTTTTCATCTAATTTCTTATAGGCTTTTTCTCTTTGAGTGATTAAGTTTTGTACTTTAATTGTCATCCATGGTTTAAAATCTTTATGTATTTTTATTTTTTATGAGGGAAAAATTTATTAATATTATAATTCATGGCTTCATAAAAAGAATCAGCCTTAGCCCGGAAATTTGAGGTATTAAGAACATTGTCCCAACTTTCTGATTGGGCTCACCTTCCGAACAGATTAATTTTGGATTCAGGCATACTTTAAAAGGTTTTAACTACTATACGATTGTTAGGTTTCCTAATTCTGGGGTAAACAACAATTAAAGCGTGGTCGCTACGACTTATAGGAGACAATAACTTTGGTTTATAAAATAATTCAGGAACATTTTGTAAGACAGAGATCTAAGATAGCATCACCCCGAGTGGGTGAGTGAACAATTTGTTTGAGACCATCTGGACACAAAGGTTCAATGTTTGTTCTGTTGGAAACAGAACCCTGTGCCACCCCCAAATTTGTCCTAATATAGTCAATTCCCAACATTAGATGTTCAATAAGCAACTCACGTTGGTTAACTTCAGTAATGTATATACCTGCAAGAGCAATGTAAGGTGCTGGTCTTGGAAACTTTGGATGTGTTATCAGAAGCCATTACTTCCAACTCGGGTGGCACATTGATGTTGTCAATGACAACGGCTTTTAGTTGGTGTTTTACATATATTAACACACCAATGATGAGAACTGGCCTCTGATTATTATTTTTTATTATTTATTTTTTTTTATTATGTTCAGCACTACTACTGTACATCACCTGCACCACCTCAACCCATTATCACAAACATCTACAACCACTGTAGCATCATTAAAAGATGAATATAAAATACGTTTAAAAGGACTTTAAAAGATTATAAGCAGTAGTAAGGAAAAATATATCGAGGCTATTCTTAATTTTAATATATTAAGACTTGCGAATGATTTAAGAGTATATATTCATTTGAATCGAATTTATAAAAAGAAACAAGACAAAACAAGTAAAATGAAATTAGAAGAAGTCTTACCAGGTGAGTTGCAGTTTTCACCAGCCCAACAGTGTGAACACTCGCAAGCTCCTGTCACATTGTTGCAGTTGCCATGGAAACACTCCACATGACTCATTCTATTTAAAAGATTTTCAAAATATAAAATAGCATATGGATTTGTTGTTAAAAATATGCAGCTAATAAGTACGTAAGTTACATCATGATAAAAAGCTGACAATGTATACGGCCATGAATTTTGTGTGTGGCAGATTCTGTTGTGATTTTAGCCTCAGAAGATTGTTTGAATACCTCATGAATAGTAATTTGCCACCTTCGTTAAAAAAAATATACTAGATAATCATTGCCAAGATAATATAGTTTTTATCATTTTATTTTAAACAATGAAGAACGCTTTCTTTAAAGTACCGAAAATTAATCAGATTATTAACAATCACATAGCTCTATGCTTTATATAAAATTAAATTCTTAAGTAAATAAAAACAGATTTATATATTGCTTTGTAATTTAAATGTTCCGTGTTCATACTAAGTAACTACATGTATTTACGCCTTATAATTTAAATCTAAAATATAAAATGAGAAATCGCAGGATGCAAATCATAAAGAGGATATTAAAATAGTGAAATTATTGTAACATAATTATTATTATTAAAGTCCACCAATTTACACCGTGACTCTAATTGTCAAGGAGTGTCGTTTAAAAGAATACAAATGGAATAACAAAATGCGTATTCAATTCTAACACCACAAAGAACTGAGGTACATGGGAATTAGACACACGTAACCACAGATGCTTCAAATTTCACCAACAGAAGATTAGATACCTCCTCCGTGATCAATAAAAACTAACTTCAGTAGTGATAATCGTCCGAATGCTGGTTATAATCTATGAATACTCTTTAAAACCGAACATGTTTAGGAGCGCGTCTACATCGCGTTAACAACGACACAAACAGAAGGGGAAAACAAAATTATTATAGTAAATTTAAGTTTTATTTATGCCTGTTACGAAACTTCATAATTACAACATTGATTGCGTATTTGCCGACGTAAACGCGTTACAGAATACGGTACGTGAACGCGATATTCATTGATTTACAGAAATCAAACATTGAATTACATTATATTCAAGTAAAGCATTATATTAACATATGTAAAGTTTAACCCAATGATTCTTAGCACCATCTGCCGTTCTACTGCCGGGGACTGAGGGCCATTTATGTGCCTTGTTCATTTAACTTTGAGAGGTTAAGCATAAATCCGCCAAACTTGCTCAGGGCGGCTTGGTGGATTCACAGATAAGCGGTGGGCCTAACCTTTGGTAATCCAATACCCTTAACCACAAGGCACTGACTGCTCCCGTACATTGATGTGTGAAATGGCTGTTGACTCGTAATGAGTTCCTCAGTACTTTACATAATGTAAGTCGAGTATACAGATTGGCTTTCCAGAGAAACGCCTACGGCTTTCATCCGGGCTAAAGGCATGCTGAACTGAACTTATTAGAAAAGTGTATTGTATAACCTGACGGATATTTTAGTATTTAAAATGTTATTCTTGCTAATCTTGATGTTTTATATGACATAAGTGTTTTTTTGAATACATTTTATACTTAAATATTGTACATAATAAGCAATTCAGTCGTTTCACTGCAGTTTGTGATTTTCATAAATTGAAATTGAATTGGAATTTATTGAATTTTGCAATTGTCACTATAGTTATATTTTTCGTTTCAGAGCATACCCGTATTGTAAATTAATTTGGTTTAGTTTTTAATTTTAAGCATTATATTTTCGCTTTTATTTATTTGCTGCGAAGCAGCCAATTCATATTTTTGACAGCAATTTGACCTCTGAAAGGTCATTGTTTGTCAAAAAACCTGCGCCTATAACAACTGAGAAGCGGAGTTTCCTTCTCTCGTTCTGCCGGGTAAAATCAATTACTTTAGGCGACGTTTGTAGACTAACCTACTCGTACCAACGTCCGCATGTCGCGACACTGGAGTACTATTCAGCGTTTTTACTATATTTCTAGGTTTCCTATTTCTACGTTTAATCGGCTCATGTCTCAGCCACAATATTTTGAGGCCAATATTATTTACGAACCCAGTTAAACTTATTTACTAGCCTATTTCAACGTGCTAATTATTACATTCAGGCGACGCTTGTTGTAGACTGGCATACTGTTTTCGGAAATAAATACCGTTTTATACACATGCGCAGATCGATTCGCCAGCAGCGAGTCATCGCCAGCAGCAGCGAGATGTCACTGCAGCAAAACACTATTGTACACGGTACCAACGCTGTTTTATATATAGACAATGGGTCATGTCTCATATTATTTGTTATATTTTTATTATT